ACTTTCTAAACTACATAGTAGTTAATATATTATACATGGACCATTAACATTCTTAAATTCACTCATCAGAAAGTCAAATGAAACTGTTGTGGGACTGGGAAAAGATGATAAATACTATTCTTTTTTTATTTTATTTTTTTCCTTTTTGAGACAGGGTCTCGTTACGCAGCTCAGGCTGGCCTTGAGCTCACTTTGTAGCCCAGACTGGTCTTGAACTCACAGTGATCCTCCTGCCTCCGCCTCCTGAGTGCTGGGATTACAGGCGTGCACCACCACACTTGGCCCAATACTATTCTTAAGTGTACAAGAAACAATGAACGTAATCATTCATTAAATAAAGTTTATTAAAAAGGGGAACCAATTGTTCTTTTATTTTAGAGAACTCCATCCTCACTCCGAAGTGACAATACAGCACAGATTCAAATGGATAGGCTGATTAAAAATATACTTTAAGCTTGTTTAAAACAGCAAACAGTGCAAAGAAAATGGAAGTGCTATTAAAATGCAGTTAACTTTTATCAAACTTGTAGAAGTGATGAGTGTTTGTTTCGTGGGTATGCAGAGACATGTCATACTGTGCATTTTAAATAAATATATGCAGGTTGCTGTATGTCAGTTAAAGCTCAATAAAACTAAAATAAAATCATTCTCATTTAGTAGTGATCTACCTTCACATGTAAGTTAGCAGTAACAAAACATTCATGTTATCTGTGTCTTTTTCTGCACAAAAGCAGCAAAGACCTCCTACTTGAATACTAACACCAAAGATTCCTTAAACAAAAAGCTTTCATATCAGTCACTGCTTATATAGACTAAAAAAGTCTATCTACAGAGCTTAATGAATTTCAGGTTGGAAGGTGGGCATGATGGCACAGACCTGTAACACCAGCACTAGTGAGGCTGAGGCAGGAAGATCACTGAGAGTTCAAAGCCAACCTGAGCTACACAGTGAGTTCAAGGCCAGCCTGAACCACACAGCAAGACCCTGACTAAAAAAAAACAAAAAAAATTCAAGGTTGGAGGGAAAGCAGTATTATGTGTCTACAAGGTATTGCGCCCCTAGTCATCAAAATAGTTTCTATTTTGGTTAAATTTAGAATTCTAGAAAACTCCCCAAAACAAACCATGCATTATCATGACCAAGTACCAAACTCAGATCCTGAATATGACTAAAGGGAAAAATTTTATTCATCTGCTTCTGTTTACTTCTTGCACTTTTTACCTGTTCCTGGACATCTTCAAACTCTGAGCTGAGCAACTCTATGAAGATGGGCACTGCTCCTGCCTGAATCACAATCCGGGTCTGAAGAGAATTTCCTGAAGCAATATTTGTCAGTACCCAAGCTGATTCAAACTATAAAGATAAAAATAATTTTTATTATCTTTTTAGAATTTAAAAATTTGTTTACATATAACAATAAAGGTTTCAGTACATGAAGAACAGTGTCTGAGATCAGTATTTGCATATTACCTATCAGGTGTACACTATTTAAATCTTTTAAACACTCCCGGATGAAATGCCTCAGCCTAGAGGAATCCACCAGTTGTTTAAAATGTCGGATCAAGACAGAGTTACTATGAGACCCCCCTCAAAATGAGTGTTTCACATGCTGATATGGAATGCTCTCCTAAGACTTAAGTGAAGAAAAAAGCAAAGCAAAACAAAACAAAAACAACTCTACCCAAAATGCAAAATAATATACATTAATATGGTATTGTCTTAAGGATTAAAAGGAAATATATTCATTAATATACTCATTGCAGGGCTGGGGATTTAGCTCAGAGGCACAGCGCCTGCCTGGCAAGCGCAAGGTCGTGAGTTCGACTCCTGGTACCAGAAAAAAACAAAAACAAAACAAACAAACAAAAAATATATACTTGGGGCTGGGGATTTAGCTCAGCGGCAAAGTGCCTGCCTGGCAAGCGCAAGGTCGTGAGTTTGGTTCCCGGTACCAGAGAAAAACCAAAAAAAAAAAAATATATACTCATTGCACAGATCATCTCAGGTCTGAGTCACAAGAAACTCTAAGCACTTGTTGCCCACATGGAAAAAGAACTGGATGCCTGGGAACAAGGATAGAAAAAGCAATTTCACTGGAAAGCCCTATGTTCTTTTGGCACTATACTATATATCTTATCTAATAAAAATGTCTAGAGGATAAACAAAGTAAAATGGAAAGACTCAGTGTTAAATGTATAAAATATAGTCCATGAAAAATATGAAATATCTTAAAAGCAGGTCAAATTTAATCGAAATGTTAAGTAGGCAAAACAAGCTAACAAGCAAACAATTAATAGATAAAACAATTTCCAATAAATAAGAAAGATCAAAATTAAGGTACAGAGCTGTTTTTAAAAAGAGCATTCTTAACAGGGAAGGGAAAAAAAGGTGAACTGAGTAATACTTCCTATAGAAATAGGAAACAAGATATGAAAGAAAATATGGCCAAGAAAACCCACTACATATTATTAATTCTATATACACTAAAAATATCCTGACTTTAGGTTAATATTGAGAATCCAAGAATGAAAGCTTACATTTCTACTTAGTTAAGAGTTCTTGATTAAATTTTAGATTGATTTCTTCCCCCATTCTGTCTTCTATTTATCTTTTACTGAAGCACAAATGCAGGGGAAAGAAAGTGAATGGTAAGCTCTTTAAATAAAACAGTAGTAACAAGACCTCAAAAGATGCACCTGTGACTTTCTCTAAGCTTCTCAATAAAAGGAAACTGTCATAAAGAAAACAAAATCATCAATCACTAGGGTGAAGGAAGATGGAATAAGGAGGCAGATAAACTGATCAGCACAGTTCAAAGCTGATGATGAATGACAGCAAATTCAGAGGACACTTAAAGGGGAGGATGGTCAAAAAACCTGTAAAAGTGACAGAAACAGGTGCAATAAAATAGTTTGGCAACCCACCTAGGCACTGAAAGTATAGCAGCTGGGAGGCCTACCTCAAGAATACCACATTTAAAGAGCACATATTATTGTGTCTGGTAACATTTTGTTGTAACAACAGTTCAGGAAACTTATGGATTAAGCCCTGAGTATCATTAAAAAACACTCTTTGCGCATTTGTCTCTATAATGAAAGCAATGCTTGAATCCCTTCAATTTGCTGGAATTGAAACATTTACATTTGCACAGTACTTTATCTTTTCAAAGGATTATTCACATACTCTGAGGTGATCCTCACAACAATCCAGGAAAGTAAATTTTTAGTTACGAATGAAAAAGACACAACAATGTGACTAATAATGGTTTGAGCAATTTTAAGCAGCTAGTCCGGGAAGGAATAAATCACGGACTCTTAATGTAGTATGCTACAAAGCCTAGGCATATGCTTCTGTAAAATGAATCTGTAACACTGGCATGAGAATAGTTCGATTGTTTTCGTTTGGGAATTTAGGCAAGATATTTCAAGTGGTGGCATGCCGTATTATTTATGCTAAAGAAAGAAGAGTTCACCTAAGTGGTTCCTGTGCCTGCGCGGAGGAGGAGTTAAATCAAAGCCGTAGGTGAGAATAAAACCAGAAAGTTAGGTGCGAAGTTCAACAGTTATTACACGATGCAAAGATCAAATAAAAAGAAAGGAAAACTGTTAAGAAAACTCAATCTAGAAATAACAGGTAAAATCTGTGTACATGTCAAAGACAGAAAAGATTCCAGTGACATTTTGATGCAGAAGAAATGATAATATTCTGGAAAAATGTAAGATATATTAAAGTTATTAGTGAGAAAAATATTACTTAGAATACTAACTGGTGCCAGAATTCAAACTAAGTTTAGCACCAAAAGCCCTAGAGGAAATGAGAAGGAATTCTAGAAGCTACTCAAGTGAATAAAATGATGAAATAAAGGGCATGGGATATAACTCGGCAGCACAAGCACCTGCCTAGCAAGCTCAAGGTCCTGAGTTCGATTCCCAGTACAAAAAAAGAAATAAGAGATGATAATTAAGAAAAATAAGTTAATAACAAACAATACGGATGTTAAAATTAGATACCAGTATCTCTTAATAAAAGAACACTGAATCAGAGTTACGCTTGTTACTGAGAAGTACATAATGATGATAATCTCTGAATGCAGAGACTCAAGAATAGAAATCAAAAAGTAGTGTTGCTGCTCTAAGGAACAGAAGGAGTAACTATAACCAGAGGGCCACTGCAGACATAACCATGTTATTGGACGTTAATAAGGCATAAGAAATACACACAATGCCCTTTTACTTTGGGTTTTTTCACCACATAAAAACTCATCAAGCTTCATTTGTAAAATTCTATCTACTTACGTGTGTATTACAGAGACACACCGGTTAATGTCTGAAGAATCAACCATCAAATGTGTTTTAACATGTAAGAATATTCTTTAAATGCTGTGAACTGTACAACTTCCCTTTGATCACAATCTATACTTATATATTTCACTGAGATCTGCACTCTTTGCTTTTTTTTTTTAAGAATGTTCTGGCCCTGGTACTACATTAAAATTTAACCCAGAAGAGAGCTGTGGAATGGGAAAGCCCAGAATTGATGACAAACACAATGCATAAAGTTGTAATAAAAACTGCAAAAAAATAAGTAATCGTATGACTCAAGAGAAAATCAGTAACCTGAAAAGAAAAAAAAAAAAATCTAAGAAATGGTATTACTTGAAGTAAAGAAATGGTGGCCAAAACAACTATCATCTTCCCTTCCTTGTTGAAGTACTGTATTCCTACTATTTCCAAGAATGGTACCACACCAGAAAACAACCTGTCATTGCAGCTGTAACTACTTATAAACTGTCACTCCACTATTACTTTTCACTGTGCAGAACTTGCTAAGTAAGGCTACAACTGACATCTGTGCACTGAAGATTTGATGTTTTCTGTCTCCCCTTTCTCAGTCTCTACCTTCTGGTGCTCAGCTTCTTAAATAAGGAAAATGAGAATCCAAAGCTGAAGTACTTCTGACCTCCTATCAAGTTTCCCACTCCAGATTGAGGTACGCCTGGTTCCCTTTCTCCATTTGGATCAGGACTCTGTTGCTGGCCACTTTGCCGGTTCCACTCTGATTCCTAGCAAATGCCAGGCTCACCTGGAGAGCAAGTGAAAAGAAAGGATCACATCAGAAAAATAAACCCAGATATCAAACTCTGCAGAGAATAGTGCCTGAGTCATCTGAGCAACCCTCCAGGAAAGCACAGAGATCAATGAAAATGGGAAAAGGCACAGGAGGGTGAAGGCTTACTGCAGTTTATCACATTTAGCTTTTAGAAAGGACAAGAAAGGCAGGAAAGGGGAAACTTAGCCAACTTAGCCAATCTTTTAGTGGACTACTTCTACACATTTTTATAAGGTTCTATAAGGTTTGGTAATGCAACATCTTAGCACTGCAAAAGTCAGTACAAAGATGCCGGGCCTGGACTCAACCAATTAGTGAGCCCACAACAACATACCACACAAAGAGGACCAATCTCACACCAAAGGCTCAAGTATGCCTGAAGTGCTCTTAACTGAAATCCTACATCCCAGCTATGTTCCCCCTCAGTTTGATAAGTAAGTACTGGGGTAGGAATACCCAAAACAGTCATTTTTAGCTCCCTTGTTTGAGGTACCTCACTGATCTGAGAAGCCAGAACTGGAATGAAGAGACCCTTTACCAGGATTCACAGTTCCTGAGCTAAGAAACAAAGAAATTAAGTTTGTCTGTGGAACTTAATTTGTGAGTTGAACCATCAAATTTCTTCTTGGTATCATACAGTGTTGGCTCTCTTTCTGGAAGAGAAATGGCCAAAGCCCTACTCCAAAGATACATTATTTGTATTCCTTGTAAGTAGCCAGGAGTACCACGGCTAGCTTACATCCCAGTCCTCTCCAAGAGGACAGGAAGGAGCACCCTCTGAGCTTTTCAGAGCATGTCTAATTACTGAAGGTAAGGCAAAGCATGAAGTCCCCTGGCTCTAAGGTCTTGGAATTTTCTTGTTCCTCCTGCTTTCAGAGTGGCCAAGGTTACCATTATTCATACCGGAGAAAGAATACCATGCTGTACTTAAATGTACTCAGGAGGAAAACTAGAGATGACAACCCTTAAATAATAAATAGGTAGGTTATTGCTCAGCCTTAGAAACAGCTGAAATAATGATAATCATGGGGTGGTCAATTCCAGAAGCTTCATTTTTTTTAAACCTTCAGCCTAATTATTAATTTTTATGAGGATGGAATCTAGAAATATAGACAGAAGAAAACTAGGTATTTTTGAGGGCTTTCATCTTCAGCTATGTTAAGATGTGTTCCAGGAAGACGAGTTTACATGGGTTAAGCCACGTCTAGAGGGCACTGTTAGAAAACATACTATACTCTTAATCATGTACACCAGGACGTGGAGTGGGGAAAGGTCATCTTACTTTTTTCATTTTATGTCTGAAAAATTATACATTCCTTTTCTATACATAAGAACTGGACCTTTGCAATCACCTATTAAAAACTGCTACACTCAGGAGTAAAATCGGTATCTCTCAACTACACTCATTCCCAGAGATAAGAGAGAAACATTTTTTCCATCATGAACAAAATGATAATTTTCCCTACCTCCCTCTTCCTACAAAGCATTTCAAATGATAAACTGCAGTAAGTTCCTCATTTGCTCCCTCTGGTTCTCTTGGCAGGCTCTTTAGCTCAGGCTCTGTTCTCTGCAGTGTTGGTTATCTGGATTTCCTTTTTTCTGAGCAAAGTCTCTCTTCCCTTGCTCTCAGGGTGAATGTGGTTATTTTCAGGTGTCTGGTGATTCTGGCCTTCGATGGGGCCAGAATTACAATCCAGGAGGCAGCTAGCAAAACAGAGTCTTAATTCAAATAAACACAGGGACTGGGTTAGTTCTCAAACTGGAGAAGGAAAACTGACGGGACATCAAAGTACTCTACCTTTTCTGGATTTCTTGTTTTTCCTCTGGAAGGAACTCATCACCGCAATAAAGGTATAAAAGAAACAAAGATACGGTAGGACAAAAGGAGAGAAAATATCAAGACAAAGCATTAAGGCTTATGATTAATCTACAATGGTCTGGCCAATCAATAGCTGGAAGTGAGGGACACAAGAAGTATTTACAAAAATGCCCCAGTTCCTACATAGCATCAACAGAAGCACATAAATGGGAAAGGGAAATTCCAATTAACTTGCTACTGACCAATATTTACTTGAAAAACTAATCCCACTTTGTGTTCTACTTGATACCTAGCCCAGCTGTATAGCTGCATCCCCCAAAGTGCCTGACCCCTTCAAATTAGATGCCACAGAAAGAACTTACAAAATGATCACAGGCATTTGTCAATAACACACTGATAATACACTGATTCAGTTGTCTACTCCAAAGAAGCCTAGCTAATGAACAGCTTACTGAAAATCCAACTTTACTCAGAGTAAGAAAAAAAAAAGTATACAAGGTTGAGAGTGGATAACTAATTCCTTTTACTCTGAAATCCAATCCAGAAGTTGGAGAATTTCCTCTTGGATTCTCTCTATAGTACAGTATTTAAAGATTAAACTGACATAACCAGATACACAGATTCTCATCAAAGCTATCTCTCTTCGTTCGTTCTTCTAGAGTAGAAGAAAGACTACTTAGGACCAGGGAGATGACGGAGCTTCTGATCCAGCCACGGTATACAATCCTGAGAAAGCCAACATGTATCCACAAGACCTTCAAAGCCTGCAAATGCTTCAAAGCCAAATTTTACAAAGCTCCCCCATAACTTCCTATTCATAATGGTTCTTATAAGTCAAATTTTTCCCTATTACCTAAGTATTATCTGCAATAATAGAACATCTCAAACGAATAAAGACAGATTCAAAAAGAGTATAATCAAGACTTCACATGTCAGTAAAGCTATAAAAAGTTTGCAATGTACTTATGAGGAATATCATCATTAACAGACCTAAGCCTTCATATAGGTAAAACAAGCAAAACTTCATATACAAAAAGGTTTTTTTAAATCAGTGCCTATTTGCACTAATACATACATGATGAATACAATCACCTTGGGGAGCTGGTACATACACATACCACATTTTAGTCTTTTGTACTTCCCCTTCCCCATCCCTCCCTCCAAAATAGACATTTCACAAAAAACTAAGTTATGAGACAAAAAAATGAAAATGATCCGCACCTGCAGTGTACAATTTTCTTTTCGTTTCAGGAATTCCACAAACCTGGCCACTACTCCCGGTGTGCTGATAACTTCATCAATAGGAGGGTTAGGTTCTGTTTCCAAATAAAATAAACAGGAAAAAAGAAAAAAACAATCCTTTGATTCCAATACAAGGACTTTATAGCTCACAATTACTTAATAATACCACTCCCGAGTTGGGCATGGTGGCACACGATTATAATCTTCGCACTTGGGAGGATAAGAAAGGAGGATCACCGTGAGTTCGAAGCCAGCCTAACCCTACTGAGTTCAAGGCCAGTCTGAACTATACAGTGAGACTGTTATCTCAAAAACAAACAAAACAAACCAAAAATTCTACTCCATTTAACAGCTTTCATTTTAAAATTCTACTTAAAAAATAAAAAGTAAAACTGAGTTTAGTCATTTTGAGAGTAGGGTAGTACAAAAAGTTTCACACAAAGAACACATGCCTTAATATAAAAATGAAAGGTGGGCAGAATTGTTCATTTGTTCTGTTTTTGCAATGCTAGGGAAACTTACTTTCCTTCAGCCTTAGAGATGAGCCCAGAGCTTGTGCATGCTAGACAAATGCCTTAATTGAGCTGCACTCCTAGTTCCTAAGAATTCTTAGAAATTAAAATTACTACAGCTACTATTTAAAGAAACTTAAAAAGTAAAGGACTAAATATCCAAACAAATTTAATTACGTTCCTTTGTTATACTTTCTTCTGGCTTTTCTCTACTCGATCTTTTTAGTCTGTTTTGTTTACTGTATGTTGTCTTAAAAAACTGCATCACAGGATTCTCTGTGCTAACAGGACCTTGATTTAACACCTGTAATGCTAGGTAGAGGCAGCAAGAATTACGATTAACTTGCCAAATTAACCTCATTTTCATTTATGACAATATAGCACCCTATAAAAGAAGTAATTAAAAAAACTATTTCATGGATAGGAAATGTCAGATAACCAGACTGACAATCTTATCAAGAGAACTGATGGGTTTTGATAACACGTATGTGGCAATACCAGAAAAACACAGATCACAGTAACAGAGATTCTTAGCAAAGTCAGTGGTCTTATTGAAAGAAGGTACTAACGCCTCAATATTGACTTGGGACAGAGCTCTAATGACTTGTCCTTCACCTGGTTCAATATTTTTCTCTCATTCAAATAAATGGTATAAAGAAATTAGATGATAAGAAATATACGTTAGTATAATATACCAAATTACAGAAATAAAAAAATAAAAACTGGCAACAAAACAAAAAAGTAAAATTCACAAACGATTTTTCTGGGGTTTTTTTGCAGGGGAGGTGATATCTCACTATGCTGAAGCATGGCCTTGAACACTTCGCTTAAGCAATCCTCTCACCCTCCCAAGAGTACTTGGGACTACAGGTGTGACCTACAGCATCCAGCTTCACAACTGATTCTAAAAGGGGATTTTAAAAACCCCGTATCACTTCCCAATAAGTTAACTATATTTCATGAAGAAAATGGTAAGAATTTATTTTGGTGAATATTCGATGAACTGTTATTAGGTCACGACTACCAAAACAACTAATGAAAGAGGAATTATTAGAATGGACAGTTGTAGGACAAAAAAGGTAAACTCGTACCATGTCCATTAGTAATAGGTCTGGCATTCTAGTTTGCACATTTTTAAGAGGGTTGTCAGCAAACTAAAATACAGGCACAAAAGAGTAAAGTAATAAAGTCTTAAAAAGCCATGTTATGTGAGAAAACCACTACTCTCAACACGTTGAAAGAAGACAAGACCTTTTTTTAGAAGAGTAGCAAGAGAGACTTTTCCTTCATATATTTAGTAAGTTGCCACACAAAAGACACAGTTTTGTGTATCACAGTTTTAAGTTTTTATTGTGCTAGGTTTTTACCTCACTAATGATTCTAAAGAACCACGGTTTACTATGGGTAAGGCCAGGAAGAAATATTTACTATTAACATTTCAGTAAGGTTTAAATTATCTTTACTTGCTCAGGGTGACAATAAGTACCATATTCCATTCTATACTAATCCTAAGAGGGTAGTAAGTTATCCTATCAACTAATAAATCCATACTTAAGCTTCAGTGGTAAACTACTAACATTAAAATCAACAATTACTGCTTTCTCAAGTAACATTTTAAAGAAGTTTTCTATAGAGTAGGGTTTCTCAGTGAGTTAAGATTTTGACTATGATTCACCAAGGACTTTTCTAGTATAGCTGAAAAATTAAGATCTCAAACAAGCGAAAAGGCACTACTTTTTTAACTGACTAAAATACATGTCAAGCCAGGTGTGGTATGCACCCCACAATCCCAGCACTCAGGAGGCTGAGGCAAGAGGATTGCCATGAGTTCAAGGCCACCCTGAGCTACACTGAGAGACTTGCCTCAAAAAACCACCAAAATATTTTTTTAATTAATTCTAAAAATACACTTCAGTTGGGTGTGGTGGCACATGCTTGTAATCCCAGCAGTCAGGACGCTGAGGCAGGAAGATCGCTGCAAGTTCGAGGGCAGCCTGAGCTACAGAGTGAGTTCAAAGCCAGCCTAAACTACATGGAGAGATCCTGTATCAAACACCCCCAAACCCAATAATAAACAGAATAAAAATACACTTCAAATCAAATTATCTGAGACATGAAAACAGATTATGGGAAAGAGTTGAGAAGATACACTCATATTTAGAGCTCACCTTTTGAAAGCAGTTTTCTGAATTTTTGTGTTGCGGAAAGCTGTTGCTCTGGGCTATTAGAAAATATCATCTCAATCATATCAGAAGTAATAACACCACCCTGGGATCACAAACACAAAGCAATATAAGAAGACATTAACTTTCATTGAAAAACAAAGACAACATAAGTTATAGCCAGGTACCAAGTTAGCCATGCTTCTCCAGATATTACACACAAGTAGAACAATATCCACATCCAAAAATGTATAAAATGATTAGTGATGTAATGAAGCCAAATTCTTTGTCTACTATTTAAAAGTTCACAGTAATGAGAAAGTAATCTCAGTAGTGAATGCTAAAACAAGAGGCTTACTATCTCTCCTCTCCTTGCATAGCACTTAGCTAGCTGTTGTTATAGAAATTAAATGTTAAGTTCTGAACAGTAGCTGTGCCAGGCATGGTGGCACACGCCTGTAATCCCAGTACTCGTGGCAGGTTGAGGTAGGAGGATCGCTGCAAGCTGAAGACCAGCCTGGACTACAAAGAGCTCAAGGCCAGCCTGAACTGTATAGGGAGACCCTGACTCAAAAAGACAGACAAATAAACAAAACGGGCTTTTTAAGACCTCTAAACCTAGAGCAGCTGCTCTAGGTCTGTCACATCATCCTATCTTAATTCCATGTCCAGCCAGCTCTGGTCACTTCTAAATATTTTTTCTAATTATTTGTTCATGTCTGTATTTCCCCAGTATACTGTAATGTCCTTGAAAACCAAAGACCCCCTTTTCTTTGTATTTTTTCGAATTAATTTTAACTGATACTAGAAACAATCGTACCTATTAAAGAGATGTCATGTGTTGTTTCAACACATGTACACATAGTATAACACTTTAAAGTGAGACTCTATCCACCTTACCACTCTATCACTAATGTCTGGCATACAGTAATACAAATGTTTGGCTCAACACTTACTGATGGAGTGGTCCTGTAGAAATCATAAATTTTAGCCATGCTAAATTCAACAGCTGACTCTTAAAACTTACATAGAATTCTTACTTTCTTGCTTTATTAAAGCTATTTTCTCACTTTATTATAACTTGGCATGGAGAGGGTGGTTGGTACTGGGGATTGAACCCAGGGCCTTTGTACTCAGCTACAATAAGGTCTCACAAAGTCGCCCAAGCTGGGTTAGACTTGTGATCTTCCTGCCTCAGCTTCCCAGAGTCCTGGCATTACAGGTATGCACACCTCCCCCTAGTATTTTACTAATTTAATAGCCTTTTTCCGTTTCCCGCTATTTTCTCATTTTATTACTTTTTCATTTCATACTAAAACCATGCCCACTATCAGTTTCTTCTCAGGATCACTGGTTACCATGAAACAAAGTTCTTATATTAAGAAAGGTTATAGTCCACAAGATGAACTGTAAAAATGTTCCACTGAGTGTACATGCTGGGTGGTTGCTAAGCAGTATCTAACACCTAAGAATATCTGTAGGAGAATATATGCAGCATATGCTCAAGAGTGAAGAAAGTACTTTCAAAGTTCCAAGACTGATTCCTAAATAAACAAAGGCACCTGAAGACCGTTATGAAACAGTCTTTAAATAGTGCATGTCTTTAAACACACACACACAACCTGTGTATGTCTGTGTGTGTAAAAACATTCATGTTTATATAAGTAACCATCTTTTTCTTCCTTCTTATACTGTCTTATCATATAAACTGTACTGACTTTACATCATCATATTTAAATTATAGTACATCGAGAAAAGGAGTGAACATCACCTAAGAATTTCACATCCTCGTCTGTGGAAAGGGTTGGTACATTTTTAACTACATGCAAGAAAGTTGTACAATCTTAATTGTATCAACTTTGTTGTTTCTTTAAGACTTGGTATGGTGTTAGGAGATGTGAATAGATGCCAAACCGATTATAACAGATTTTGATGTTTAATTTTATGTGTCAACTTGATTAGGTTATGGTAACTAGTTATTTGGTCAAACACTAGTCTAGATGTTACTCTGAAAACATGTTTAGTGAAACCCTGTCTCAAAATAAAAAATTAAAAAGAGGTGGAGGGATTAAGGATGTAGCTTATTGTGAACTCCCTAGGTTCAATCCTTGGTAAGCGGGGTGTGTCTGTGGGGGACCCAAATGTAGATTGTTCCGCACAATGTGGTTCATATCACCCAATCTGGTGAATGTTTTAAGAGCAAAGACTAAGGTTTCTCAAACAAAGAGGAATTCAGTCTTCAGCCAACATCGGTTTTTAACCTAACGTGTGAGCTACCAACCATATCAACTACTTCC